ACAAGCTTCATATCATGTCTGAGAATCCTTGTGGGGTCTCTTTTTAAAATCTTCACACAGTCATTTTAAACATAATTAAACCCTGTCACTGAGAGGTTTATCCCACACTACAAAACTTAACCCAGAATGTTGGACAATAAGAACATGTCTCTTCATTTTAAACTCTAGTGAGAACGATATCTGTTTGTCCGTCTTATATCTTATACCTAGAGAACTGTTAGAGGTTGGAATTTGATATTTAGGTCATGTATTGTTTGGCACTATGTTTTTTCTTATCAATAAATACAATGGTCAACGACCTTGTGACGTTTGGGCTAGACGTTTAACCAACAAGTACACAATGCCTTTATACATGTACATTATGTCCTTTGACGGAAGAAAGGATGTCTACTATTTAATTCATTTATGTCCTATGAACTATTTATATTAAATTTTATTTAATTAATGAAAAAGACACACAGAATCTGACTCATTTTCTTTAAAATTTGAAATAAGGAGGGATATGTAGATAACGAACAGTACCAAATCTCAATTTCCATAAAACAATGCAAAATAAGAGCAGAGGTAACACGGACCTCCGAAACATCAGAGGTGGGATCAGGTGACATGGAGGAGTGAGCATCCACTGCCGACTGGACACATCCGCCGTGTGTTCCTTGACATGATCAGGAAATAACGGAAAAAATCCGTCGTTAATTCAGTGTATAAATAATGGACTAACAATTGGTATGAAACACGTCAGTCAGCATTTGACGCAATGATAAATTGTATTTGCTGACAAGGTCATTGTATCGACCATAGAACTTACAAAATGATGACTTTAAACGAGACTGATGGTATTCTTGTTTCATTAACTTGCTTGTCAATAATTTAACTCGTTTAAGAAATTGTTCATACGTAAATCATGCTCTTGGGAATCGAATCAACAGAGATATATAGACTCTGATGCAGGTGATGAAGGTATATTGCTGCATACGTATGGGAAGTTGACGACAGAAAAGTTAAAGTCATCACGTTTATCATATAGTTTGGTTGTGAGATTACCATTAGCGTCTTTTTTCAAGTAAAATATCCAAGTATGAAACAGAAGTGTCAGAATCTGTGGGGTTTTTTTTATCTCAAGCTCACCAGGATATATCGTATCGACGTAGGGATCGAAATTACCATTGTTAATTGACAATACGTCGTCGATATATCTAAATGTCGAGTTGAAGGCCACAGGAAGTGTTTTCGTCTTTTCACGCATAACATTTTGCATAAATTATGCTTCATATGAATATAAAAAAGTCTTCTAATAACGGAGCGCAATTTGTACCCATGGGAATTCCAATAGATTGTTGGAATACCTGGTCTCCAAAAACCACATAGATATTGTCAATCAGAAACTCAAGCATCTTCTTGATGTCAACTTCAAAGTACTTATGTGTGCAATCAGAATCTGTTTTAACAAATAATTTTGCAAATGACCAATGATGAGGTAAGTAAATTTACGAGTTCTATTTTTATTGAAGAAACAGCTGTCAATGATATCAAAAAGCCTGGATTTTAATTTGTCGTGGGGAATTGTTGTTTATAAAGTTGAAAAGTCGTAAGTTTTTAAGCTGGTGATTTTTGTAAAGTCTTGTGATTTCAAATTGTCCAAGAGTTCTTTAGAATTTTTAAGTATCCACATCTGATTCACACCACTTCTTGAATATATAGTTGCACAGTACTCTTGAAGTTTATCCTTCACTACTGTTAATATCTTAGTGAGGAGAAATGAAAGAGGCTTGGTTGAACAATTACTGGAACCCGCAATGTATCTTTGTTTGTAAGGATTCTTATGAAGTTTCAGAATCCAATATATATACGGTAGTTCAAATTCATTTTGGTAATAGTAATGTATTTATTTACTCTAGTAATGTAATGGTATTGTAATGCATTACTTTAATGAGCCTACCAATATACTAACATATCAAATTACCTAGGAAACAAGTCCTGTGAACATAGTTTATTTAAGCATTGAATTCATATTTTTGGATGTTTTCTGTCCTATAACACACCTGGCCGTGCCGACAAATTGAATACCACGCTTTAGCACGGTATGATAATTTGTCGTGGGGAATTGAGCAAACACGGACCCCCGAAACATCAGAGGTGGGATATTGTGCCATAGAGGAGTGAGCATCCCCTGCTGACGGGTCATACCCGCCGTGTGCTCCTTATCATGATCAGAAAATTACGGAAAAATCTGTTCGTTAATTCAGTGTATAATTAATGAATAACATTTAGTATGAAAAACGTCAGTCAGCATTTGACTCAATGATAAATTGTATTTTTTGAGAAGGTCATTGATGACTTTAATATGAATTCAATGCTTATATTTACATTCCCTAATTTTCCCTCCTCATAATTTCTTATTCCGTTAATCTTCAATGTGAATTTAGCGCCCTTCAAAACTCTCGTGGTTAGTAGATGTAAGAGCCGTTTGTGACGTCATATGACGTTAAATGACGCAAACAAACATTGCGAGAAAAAAAGTGACAAATTAATTCTTAACGCACATTACGTTAATTTTATGTTAATTTTTTAGGGTTATAGTTTTTCATTAAATTGAAATAAAACATTTTACATTTTGGTGTTCCTAGATTATTGAAAATGCGTATAGTTCCTACTGTGTATTCTAACGCGCGGTGACAAGGTTTCGCGTGTGTTATAGAAATTTGAACGTCGTGGATTTCTAATGGATTTCATAAGGAAAATTACACTGAATGTAAATATTTATCTTTATTAAGTTTATATCTAATTTTTTATTATAAAAATTATTCAACATCTTTAATATCCCCAAGATGTGGACATTTAAATATAAGTATCACCATCTCTCTCTTTAAGGAGAGAGAGACGTGACGGTTTGATAATCGATGATCAGATAGCTCAGTTGATAGATCACCTGAATAGAAATTCCGGGGGCTCTGGTTCGAATACCGATCTAGTCCGTCACATTTAATCTGCTGTTACATTAGGTCCTTTGTCTTGTCCTAGAAGTGACAAGTTAGAAATGCCAGGGAAATTTTGAATTGGGTGTTTGGGTGAGTTTGATGGCCGTTGGTCAGATAGCTCAATTGGTAGGGCACTTAAATGAAGATTAAGGAGTGGGCATTCTGTGTTGTAATGAGAAAATTTGCTGTAAAACATTTATATTATATTGAAAGAGATATTTTCGAATAATTTAATGTTATTTGTAAAAAAAAAAAATAATAAGATACGATTTTAAAACATTTATCGCTATGTAAATACGGGTTGGACACGTGACAATCCCATGAAGCCCGAAGTGTGTAATCGTTGATTTTCGGTCATTTAACTACCTTTCGCTCCCTAATTCTACGCACACCATTTAACTTATCTGTATATTTTATTCATCTGTTCATAGTCGTCCCTACAAGTGTTAAACTCGCATGATTAACTGAAAATTCACTTCAAGCGAGTTTATTGCCCTTTAGAGACAAATATAAATGTTTGGGAAGTGGATAAAATATACATATTTGGCTACAGAATGTGTCTAGAATTAGGAAGTAAAAGGTAGTTGATTGACCAATGCAAAAGTGAGCAAAAAATATCGCGCCGTAAATTGCACCTTTCTTGCATTACGGGATCTGAAGCGTTATGACCAACGACAATTATATAAAACCATAACGCTACAGATCTGCAGCTAGTAGAAACATTGCTCTTAACGTAACTGTTTCTTTAACCATATAACAGGTATATATATTTACATTTGTGGTAGACCAAATTTAAAATAATAATTTATCTCTTATGTATTTATTCGTTTTGGGATCATTCTATTTTTCGTTTCATCTAAAGTAATCTTAAACATTTTATCTTCAATTTCATTGGTTCATTTGATATTATCCAACAGTTTTAATTTACCTAAAGTATAAGTAACTGTTCAAACTAAGCAAAATTGGGCAGTATTACATTTTAAAGAAGAAGTTATATCCATTATGTCTAGCTGATATCAGCTGCATTTTGTGGTATGTAACTTTCATATTTAATTATTTGTTACTTTACTATCATAATATATTATTTTAATTGCAAAGTTTACACTTTATGATATTTTTGCATTTAAGTTGTCTGAGTAAATATTTTGTCTGTATGTTCAAGGTTTATATTTTGCTACAGAACATTTTTCTTTCTGAAATATGTATGCTGAATAAACGGTATCTTATTTTCAGTGTTTATGAAACTATATGTAAATTGTATTTTTTTATCTAATGTATTCTTTGTATTTGTTATAGGTCAATGTGTTTTTCCATATACTCAATAAATAAAATGGACACCACCATCTTATTCATCATTTTCCCTTAACTGCTCGATTACACATTACTCGAGAGGAATATTTTTATTTACAAATTTACTGAATTTAAGTGTTAATTATGGTCAATATATGTAAACACAATTTTCAATTATAACGATTACGGTTCTAGAGGACCTTGGACACAGTTGCATTGTTTACCATCTTAAATGTCCATTTCTCGTCAATAAAAAACAAGACTTCATTTTTTCTAAAGTATTATGGATAAAGTATACTTTGTGAAAGTGCAAGGATACAATGTATGTGTCAATCACTACATCCCGAAATTTACAGTTTTAATTTTTTCCAGACAAAAGAAGTTCCTCTATATACTTTTAATATGTTTGGGTGTGAAATGATCCAGCAACATTTAAGTCTTGATATTCTTTTTTTTAAATGAGATTCAAATTGTTGTCCCAGCCTCTTTATAGTACAGTGATTTTATAGTCATCCGCCTCATATTCTTGATTAACTTAAAAAATTGGGAATATTACCGTTAAAGATACTTTCTACTTTTCACCAGTGCTTATATTTTAGGATTTAAAAATTATGATGAAATTCTGATTGAGGAATTAAAATAAATAAAAATATGGTTGTTTTGAATTTGTAGATTTTATTCGGGCTGATACAGATATAGAATTTTAATTTCTAATATATCAATATAGTGCGATGCGTACTTTTATATCTTTTCACATATTTTCAATTCCAGCCAAATATTATCAAGATTTTAATTCAAAGAGAGGAAAAACATAATTATATTAATATTGCCATGACTCCAAGGTCTATTCGCTTGTGTGCTAATTGATGATGTCCTGGGTGTACTTGATGTAAGTGTTTTGTGTTGTGAAGAAAGTATTAATGGATTATTGGTTGTTGGTGGTGTAGTATTTTTCAGTAACCTAGTGGAAGTTGATATGGTGGTTCTTGATAAAGTTGTTGAAAATATTGTTGTTGTTGGTTTAGTGGTTGTTGGTGTAGTGGTTGTTGTTGTTGTTATTGGTGTAGTTGTGGTTGTTGTTGTTATTGGTGTAGTGGTGGTTGTTTTTAGTGTAGTTGTTGTTATTGGTGTAGTGGGGGTGGTTGTTGTTGTTGTTATTGGTGTAGTGGTGGTTGTTGTTGTTATTGGTGTAGTGGGGGTTGTTGGTGTGGTTGTTGGTGTAGTGGTTGTGGTTGTTGTTATTGGTGTAATAATTGTTGTTATTTTTTTAGTGGGGGTAGTTGTGGTCGTTGTTGTTGTTATTGGTGTAGTGGGGGTTGTTAGTGTAGTTGTTGGTGTAGAGGTCGTTGTTGTTGTTTTTGGTGTAGTGGTTGTGGTTGTTGTTATTAGTTTAATAATTGTTGTTATTTTTTTAGTGGGGGTAGTTGTTCGTGTGGTGGTTGTTGTTATTGTTATTGGTGTAGTTGGGGTTGTTAGTGTAGTTGTTGGTGTAGTGGTTGTTGTGGTTGTTATTGGTGTAGTGGTAGTTGTTATTGGTGTAGTGGTAGTTGTTATTGGTGTAGTGGTTGTTGTTATTGGTGTAGTGGTGGTTGTTGGTGTAGTGGTGGTTGTTGTTGTAGTAGTTGTTATTGGTGTTGTGGTGGTTGTTGTTGGTGGTGTAGTGGTTGTTGTTATTGGTGAAGTAGAGGTTGTAATTTGTGTTGTGGTTGTTATTGTTGTAGAGGTTGTAATTGGTGTTGTGGTTGTAATTGGTGTTGGTGTAGTTGTTCTTGTTGGTGGTATTGTGGTATTTTTTATTGTTGGTTTAGTGGCTGTTGTTAGTAAAGTGGTGGTTGTTGATGTAGTGGTTCTTGTTGTTGGTGGTGGTAATGGTGTTACTATAGTGGTTGTCAGAATAGTTGCTTTTGCTTGTGCACTTGTTGTTTTATCTGCAGCCGTTGTTTTAGTTATTGATGTCCTTGTAGTTGTCATTGTTGTTGTATTTTCCTGTTCACACTGCCAACCAATATAATTTGAAGAGCAAGAAATTGTAAGTTGTAACTTGATCCTAGATAACGGAAACAAGAACTATTAACATTGGTTGATATTCAAAGGTTTACTAGTTTTTGAGGGAATAGTTTAAATTGACCTCTTTTTATCTAACTATAAAATAATATTTAAAAAAACCCTCTTTTGGATCTGAAAGATTAACTCCCCTTAAACATTTAAAACTTAGTTTTGGAACCAAGAGTGTAACTTGAATTGATTGCTTCTCACGTTAGGTTTTTATTTCCGGGTTTTGTGGTGACAGTTTGTCCTGTAGTTGTATTCCCTCTATACGTATAGTTTGTCACGCCAAGATCATCTTTGTCAGCGAAAGCATCGTGGTCGTATGTATGCACTGATATTTGAAATGAGGGCTGAAAAGAAAAGAAATAACAATTTTGGCCTTATATCATTTATAATACGTTTATAATATATATCATTATCCTTCAGAATTATACAGTCAATCTGATTGGTTTAGAGCATTTCGCGTGAGGTGTGACAATTCGTGATGTCTCTCTCACGCGCAGGTTGACAATTATTGTCACCCTTCAGATGACAATGAAATAGCTTAAGCGAGCATGCACAGTTACAACTATGTTGTCGCCTACTGAATAAATTTACAGTGGTTTAAACGAGATAACTCTTATATATATATATATATATAAAATCCAAATTCAAATGATAAACTCAAACTTTTATCTAAAGCGCTTTCGCCCCATGCGGGCTCATCAGTAGATTTGAAATTGTAAACAAGTTACATTATGACGTCATTCTCGTGACGTTATGTAGGCAACGTTAAACATAATGATTGTGACGTAATAATAATCACAGTTCAGTGAGGCGCACAGATAAAGTTTTACAGTTCATCTGATCAAAGTTTAGCGCCTATTTTAAATGTACAATAATGGAGACATTTTATATAAATTGTACATAATAAAATAATTTGAAATAAATTCCTTTTAACAGTTCAATTTTGGTTTAAACAGATTTATAAAATATTGTTCTTTGGCTTTCCGTAATTGTTCATTTTCCTCTTTTATTTTGTAAAAAGGAAATATATAAAATTGTCCTTTGCCACACGAATCAAAGTGTTCACTACATGGCGTGTTTCTTATGGTCGGATCCTTAATCTGTTGTTTGTGCACGCGAACACGGTCGGCTAATTTAGTTCCGGTTTGTCCTATATAATTTTCCTCACATGTAGGACACGTCATACAGTATATAAGGTTTTTAGATTTACATATATATATATATTTATTACACACTTAGTAATAAATACAGGTTTTTGCATATGCGATATGGCTGACGTCACAATAGCCGTATCAATCCTGCAGGGCTGATATGGATTTGCGGGGCTGATATCCGTATCAGCCCTGCAAATCCATATCAGCCCTGCAGGGCTGATACGGCTATTGTGACGTCAATATCACACCCTTAGTAAATAAAACCACAATAACAGTACTTGTACTCATACACAATTTTTGATGGGTTCATATTCTCTTAATTTTAACTTTTTGAAATTAAAGTTAATCTTAATTTACAAATACATGTATATACTATAGAATATTTTCAAATTACGGATCAAGTGCATTGAAATAGAAATAGAAACAAACCCAAATCTTATGAGACATTAGACTATGTACATGTATGTAAGAAGTCCATGCATGATTATTTACTTATTTTCTTCTCAACTGTATTTTATTACTAAGTATGTAATAAATATAATAAAACATACCCTTTTCCACATCACATCCTGTATCAGCCCTCGACCAATATCAGCCCTCGGGCCTTCGGCCCTCTGGCTGATATTGGTGTCTCGGGCTGATACAGGATGTGATATGGAAAAGGGTATGTATTATTCTCTCTCTCTCTCTCTCTCTCTCTCTCTCTCTCTCTCTCTCTCTCTCTCTCTCTCTCTCTCTCTCTCTCTCTCTCTCTCTCTCTCTCTCTCTCTCTATATATATATATATATATATATATATATATATTTAAAAGTAAAAATCCAAAAATATCACAAAACATTTACTGCAAGCGCTTTCGCCATGTTCGGCTCTTCAGGCAGTTATACAAATGTCAGGTAGGTTACCTGGTAACGTCAAAAGCATAAAGTTCATTGTGACGTCATAATAGATGTAGGTAGCGTTAAGTTGGCGTAATTGTTAATGTACAAATCTTGCACTAACTTTCACACATTATACAAATGAAATTTCAAAATATAAAATATACAGTATCATTTGCGATTAAGTTTGGGTTTAAAGAGGTTGATAAAATAGTCTTCTTTTGCCAAACGTAAATTTTCGTTTTCATTTGGAAGTTTATAAAAAGGGAAAATCTTAAATATTCCTTTGCCACATTTTGCGAAATGTTCACAACACGGTGTATTACGCACACTAGGGTCTTTAATTTGTTGCTTGTGCACACGAACCCTGGCATTTAATTTTCCCGTTTGTCCAATATAATATTCTTTACACGTCGGACAGATGGCACAGTAGATGACGTTTTCCGATTTACAGTTCATAGATGAGTTGGTTCGAATTTCCATTCCTGATTTAAGTTGGATTTTATTCCCCTCTTCTAAATATGTACATGTTCCGCATCTCGGATCTCCGCATTTTTTAATGGTTGGAATTTCCTCCTGTGTTGTAAAACGGGCCTTGGTCAACAGTTTTTTAAGACTTGGTGCTTGTCGTCGACTGTTTATGATATCATTTGGCTGAACTAAACTTTTCATGTTTTCCCAACAAAATGCAATACAGGATCTACGGAATGATTCATCCATAATCATAAAAGAAGCTGATAAAGGAGGCGCTGTTATTATTATGGACAAACCCCATTATAAGGAAATGGTACTGAACGAACTTCAGAACTGTCGGTTTTATAGAAAATTAACAGCCAACGAAGATCGTCACACAATGCTCAAGGTTGAGAAATTAACTAAAAAATATGCCGACAATTTAACAAAAAATGAAATTGATTTCTTAACTAACTTTGAATTGAAATCCAGTAATTTCTACGGATTACCAAAAGTCCACAAATCTAAGGAGATCCAGGAAGCTGTAAAAAATTGTGATGACGCATATATAAAAATATCCCAACCTGCTGACCTTAAAATACGTCCGATCATCGCTGGACCTGCATCAAGCACCCAACGACTGAGTAATTTATTGGACATTTTATTGAAACCCCTATGCAAATTATTACCCAGCTTCGTAAGAGATGATATGGATTTTCTGAATTATATTCCCCAAAATGTAGACCCAAACACTATTCTCGTCAGTTTTGATGTTACAAGTTTGTACACAAATATCCCACATACTTTGGGACTGGAAGCAGTTAGTTACTGGATAGACAAACATCCGGATATTATAAATGAACGATTCCCAAAGGAATTCATTTTAGAAGGACTGAAGATAGTGTTGGAAAATAACCATTTCCATTTTAACAATGAGTTCTACCTACAAATAAAAGGAACCGCCATGGGAACAAAAGTTGCTCCCTCATACGCAACTTTAGTGATGAGATATTTAGAAGATCAACTATATGGAAAAATACCTGAACTGTTTGATGTCGACTTTGCTAACTACATGAAAAATAATTGGAAACGTTACCTAGACGACTGCTTCATATTTTGGACCTGGCCCCGGGATCACGAAGCATCTTAAGCTTAAGTCAAAAAATGCCTTAGATGCTGAATTTTTTTAGAGGTCAAGCAGCCCAAAATGAAAATGCCTTCCGATTTTGTATCATCAGTCTGCTGTTGTATGCAAAATATGAGCTTCCTTTAACAAGTTTTAAAGATTTTATAGATAATTGAATTTTTGACTTAAGTCTAAGTCTGTTTCATGATCCCGGGGCCAGGAGTGAAGAAGACTTAACTAAATTCCATTCACTTCTAAATAACCTCCATGATTCCATACAATTTACTATAGAAAAAAGTCGTACGGAACTTCCATTTTTAGATCTTCTTATTATAAAGAATGGATCGTGTATAACTACAGATTTGTACTGTAAACCCACGGACACGCACCAATATTTGGATTTTAGATCGTGCCACCCATCCCACACAAAACGTAATATTCCGTTTAATTTAGCACGGAGAATTTGTACAATTATTACAGATGAAACCCTACGATGTAGACGTTTGGAAGAACTAAAACTATATTTAAGACGACAAAATTATCCATTGGATCTAATAAACATTGGAATAGAAAAGGCATCCGAAATTCCAATAGAGGACCTAAGAAATCCACGCCATATAGACGACACCGATGATGACGGGAAAATAGCCTTTGTAGTTACCCATAACCCAAGGAACAGAAACATCCTTATGGACGCTAAAAGATTTTATCCCATTTTAGAACAATCGGAAAACATGAAAAGTTTAGTTCAGCCAAATGATATCATAAACAGTCGACGACAAGCACCAAGTCTTAAAAAACTGTTGACCAAGGCCCGTTTTACAACACAGGAGGAAATTCCAACCATTAAAAAATGCGGAGATCCGAGATGCGGAACATGTACATATTTAGAAGAGGGGAATAAAATCCAACTTAAATCAGGAATGGAAATTCGAACCAACTCATCTATGAACTGTAAATCGGAAAACGTCATCTACTGTGCCATCTGTCCGACGTGTAAAGAATATTATATTGGACAAACGGGAAAATTAAATGCCAGGGTTCGTGTGCACAAGCAACAAATTAAAGACCCTAGTGTGCGTAATACACCGTGTTGTGAACATTTCGCAAAATGTGGCAAAGGAATATTTAAGATTTTCCCTTTTTATAAACTTCCAAATGAAAACGAAAATTTACGTTTGGCAAAAGAAGACTATTTTATCAACCTCTTTAAACCCAAACTTAATCGCAAATGATACTGTATATTTTATATTTTGAAATTTCATTTGTATAATGTGTGAAAGTTAGTGCAAGATTTGTACATTAACA